CTGAATTACAAAGGATTGTTTGTGTCCACATCTACAATACCAACAAGCAGGAGATCCTGAATTACAAAGGATTGTTTGTGTCCACATCTACAATACCAACAAGCAGGAGATCCTGAATTACAAAGGATTGTCTGCACCCACATCTACAATACCAACAAGCAGGAGAACCTGAATTACAAGTTCTAAACTACAAAGGATTGTGTGCATCCATAAATAAAATAATTTCATATTTCATTATAACTTTCATAACATGAACAAATATTTGAAATGCTTTCACATTTTCTAACCTAACAAACACATGCTCATTGAATGAAATGTTTTATAACTTATACCATAAACTTAGAAAAAAAGATCCATATGTTAAAACACAACTCACAGAATGGGAAATATAGGTTTATTCAATGTAGTTACTTATTTTTGAACTCACCATTAGGTTTCAGAACAGTGATGTTACTTTTCCTGCTTGTTCTTCCTGCAGAGCTTGTTACAATACACGTGTACGTAGCTGAGGAATTGATGGATTTAATGACCAGTCGACTCCCTGTTCGGAACAGGTCTTCAACGATCTCAGGTTCTTTAGAGGGATTCAAAATCTCTCCATTTTTTAACCAAGTGTAGCCAAACTTCTCAGAAGCATCTTCCTGTAACAGACACCACAGTTCAATGTTGTCTCCTTCCAACACAGTTGCAGTCAGTGGTATGAGCTTGGGTTGTGGAGGACTCCTGGTATAAATTTGTTTATTCTGTTTTTTTATGATGCCCCATTCCACAACTTCACAAGTAAAAATCCCTACAAAGAATGCAAAACAAACAAAAGAATCAAACAGAACTGGCACAGGATGGCTAACTGAAAGGCACTGATACAAGGTTTAGTTTGTTTGTTTGTTGGATTTCATGCAAAGTTCCTCGAGGGTTATCGTTGCTAGCCTTAATTCCATAATTCCAAAGTGGTAAACTATAGGGCTAATAAACAACACCCACTGCCAACTCTTGGGTTACTTTTTGCCAACGAAAAGTGTGACTAACGATCACATAATAATGCCTCCAAGGCTGAAAGGGGGAACATGTTTGGTGAGGGGGTTCAAACCTGTGACCAGCAAATTGAGAGACGGGACAAAGCATAGAAATAAGTGGTTTATTTGAGATTTTATGTGTTTATATTCAGTCTAATCACTTTACATACTTTTCTGACATTAATGGTTATCAAGCATAGTAGTGGATCTTAAACTTTTAAGTAAAACAAACTAACATCATGCACTGTATTATAATTGTAAAATCAAATACTTCTTTTCTGTCATTTCATTATAGAAGGGAAAAGATTATTCTAGTTGCTGTATTTCTCAAACCCTTTCAGTTTCAGTTTTAAGAACACGTTTGTGTGAGTATCCCACAATTATGTGATAAAACAAAACTGAATATGAGTTTCCATTAATCAGTCTTTTTACCTAAGTGTTCATTCATTCTTTCAAGATGAACCACTAGGGATATTACCTGCATCTAGTACATCAGTCCTATCAAACCCAAGCAAATGTGTAAATTGGTCTTGGGAGTTCTTGGGTACAACAGCTGTCCACATTCTCTGGTGTGAAGTACTTTTGTTTATTGGAAAACCATCCTTGTACCACGTGACTTCCATCTTACTTGACCCACTGATGATACACTCCAGGGTCAGTTGGCTTCCTACAGTAACTGGTAACTTCTCCGAAGTCTTCAGGTTTAAGATGTTGAGGGCTGAAATGTAAAAGTAGCTTCCTTATAGAGATAAAATGTATTGATTTTAATAGAAAAGTATTTATCAGAAAACTAAATCAGAACAAAAAGTTGAATGTATTTATTTACATTTTATATTTATCACAAACAAACAGATGTTGGTTTGTAACATTATTATCAATGTAAAACACTCTTCAAGTCAGCTTATAGAGGAGTATTTACATAAATCTACTGTGTATTAGGTTTTCAACCTTAGTAAACTTAATGTTGCATTTATTTATTTATTTTTAACATACATTAAACCAATGTTTGTACTGAGAAGGGAAAACCAAAATGAGTCTCAAGATTCTACTTACAATTTTAAAATTAAGATATAAATCAATTTTTAAATTAAGTTTATCATCTTCTGTTTTATTCACTCTGAATTCACTACTTAACAGGGCCAAATTTAACTTCAGTCTAAAAGAGTTCAAATCCAATACTAAAGTGAAACCAGTTTTGATACAACTTCCAAAGTGGTTGTCAAATTCAACCCATTCTAATCAGGGTCAATTATTAATTTCAGTGCAAACCTAGCCAATAACTTAGGTATTTCAGTGCAAACCTAGCCAATAACTTAGATATTTCAGTGCAAACCTAGCCAATAACTTAGGTATTTCAGTGCAAATTTAGCCAATAACTGAGGTATTTCCATGTATACCTACAGACCGGGCACTGAAATACCTAAGTTATTGGCTAGGTTTGCACCGAAATACTTAAATTATTGGCTAAATTTGCACTGAAATACCTCAGTTATTGACTAGGTTTGTACTGAAATATCTAAGTTATTGGCTTTGGTTTGCACTGAAATACCTAAGTTATTGGCTAGGTTTGCACTGAAATACCTAAGTTCTTGGCTAAATTTGCACTGAAATACCTAAGTTCTTGGCTAAATTTGCACTGAAATATCTAAATTATTGGCTAAATTTGCACTTCCATGGCTGTATACCTCTTCCAATGATTCTGTGAACATGCCCGGTCTGTAAGTATACATGTCCATGGCTGTATACCTCTTCCAATGATTCTGTGAACATGCCCGGTCTGTAAGTATACATGTCCATGGCTGTATACCTCTTCCAATGATTCTGTGAACATGCCCGGTCTGTAGGTATACATGTCCATGGTTGTATACCTCTTTCAATGATTCTGTGAACATGCCAGGTCTGTAGGTATACATGTCTATGGATATATACCTCTTCCAATGATTCTGTGAACATGCCAGGTCTGTAGGTATACGTGTCCATGGCTGTATACCTCTTCCAATGATTCTGTGAACATGCCCGGTCTGTAGGTATACATGTCCATGGCTGTATACCTCTTCCAATGATTCTGTGAACATGCCCGATCTGTAGGTATACATGTCCATGGCTGTATACCTCTTCCAATGATTCTGTGAACATGCCCAGGTCTGTAGGTATACATGTCCATGGCTGTATACCTCTTCCAATGATTCTGTGAACATGCCCATTCTGTAGGTATACATGTCCATGGCTGTATACCTCTTCCAATGATTCTGTGAACATGCCCAGGTCTGTAGGTATACATGTCCATGGCTGTATACCTCTTCCAATGATTCTGTGAACATGCCCAGTCTGTAGGTATATATGTTTTTCTTCAGTATTTGGCATGTTTATCAAAACTATAAGAAATTCTTCTCTGACCTCTTTACTTTCTCTTTAACTGGTTGTCTGACATGATCACGTCATGGTAGCACATTAAGTATTTTTGTTTTGAATTTGATGCTTCTGATATCTGTCCTCCAAGATATGTATCATCTTGATGGTACATCTGCTGGTTGTCTTTACAGTTCCCAATGATTACTGGCTTTGCAAGAATCTCTATAGAAGATATTGTATTACAATAACACTATGACACCAATGAAGATTTAGAAACAACTTTCTCTGTCTATCAAAAAAGGAAAGTCGTTGTATATGTTATATTTAACTTTAATGAATACCATTGGATTTCTCACAGAAGAGTGCATGTTTTATATAGTCTGAGATTGATGAACACTGTTAGATTTGTAACACAAGAGTGCATGTTATATAAAGTCTGAGATTGAGTGTTCATCAATCTCAGACTATATATAACATGCACTCTTGTGTTAGAAATCTAACAGTGTTCATCAATCTCAGACTTTATAAAACATGCACTCTTGTGTGAGAAATCTAACAGTGTTCATTCGATGTATGGTATTCCACCTTTAGAAGGCTTATATTTGGTACTCCCTCGACTCTTGTAGACTTTATAAAACATGCACTCTTGTGTTAGAAATCTAACAGTGTTCATCAATCTCAGACTATATATAACATGCACTCTTGTGTGAGAAATCTAATCTCAGAGACTCGTTATGAGAGTTACACTTTTGAGTGATGCTCAAACAAATAAGCTCAACATTATCATTAAACATATTAAACATCATCATCATTCATTAGTATACAACTTGTTTGTGCCTTTCTTTATCAAGAATCATTAAGATACAACACTTACAAGGTTTTATTTCAAAGTGAAAAAAGTTTGGGTCAACCTTGTAGTCACTTATTTGACCAGTCCTCACAGCCTTTTCCATCAGTGTCTTCACTTTCTCGGTCTCCCTTTTCTCACCAAAAAAAGTGGAACTGGACTTCTCTGTGACTTAAACAAACGAAAGATTTTACGTGTCTGTAGCAACTTAGATAAAACAACTTTTTTCATTCAGTCATGATTTATTTTTAGAATAAACATGTATAGCTCAAAAAACAATATATTCTTTAAAATCGTTTAAAATTACAACAAACAAAAACAACACAAATAATAATATTCAAGTTGACCTTTTTATGTGAGTAACATTGATAAGGTTTTTCTGTAATTATTGTTTTTCAAACAATTTAAAACTTATTTATTTAATTACTTACTTGATATCTAAGATCAATAGACTCTCCAATCTGGACAGACTATGCTGAAGTAAAGACAACAACTAAAAAAGAAAATAAAAGATAGAGAGAGAGAGAAGATTCAGGGGTGAAAATGTATTCTATCTGTTAGTGAACATTAAGGTGCCCTAATTGTGGAACTCAAAATGTAAACACTCAGTAACATTTACTGTATCGATTAGAGGAATATTAGGGTTCCCTAGATGTGGATTTGAAAAGTTATACACTTAGTAGATAAGTTTTAAATTTGTATTAAAACTGCTCTAAATATAAATTTCTGAACATTATTTATACTCACTACAGTTAATACAACAGTGCACATAGATACTTATGGTTACCACAACTCTGTAGACAGTTACTTCTGGTTACAACAGTTAACATAGCTGTGTACATAGTTACTTCTGGTTACCACAGTTAACATAACTCTGTAAAAAGTTACTTCTGGTTACCACAGTTAACATAGCTGTGCACATAGATACTTATGGTTACTACAGTTAACATAGCTGTGTACATAGATACTTCTGGTTACCACAGTTAACATAGCTGTGCACATAGATACTTATGGTTACTACAGTTAACATAGCTGTGTACACAGATACTTCTGGTTACCACAGTTAACATAGCTGTGCACATAGATACTTATGGTTACCACAGTTCACACAACACTGTAGACAGTTACTTCTGGTTACTACAGTTAACATAACTCTGAAGACAGTTAATTCTGGTTACTACAGTTAACACAACTGTGTACATAGATACTTCTGGTTACCACAGTTAACATAACTCTGAAAACAGTTAATTCTGGTTACTACAGTTAACATAACTCTGAAGACAGTTAA